GGCGCGGTGTTTCTTTCTGTGTGTGTGTGTGTGTGTGTGTGTGTGTGTGTGTGTGTCTGGTGAGCATATGTGCACTATAGCAAATTAAAAAATAATAATGATAAATAAAATTAAATAAATAATTAAAAAGTTATTTAAAAAGTAGTTGCAAACCTGATTATAATTATATACTCAGATGAGTCAAAGTCGCTGTCTTTAGGTAGGAAAACTCCATGTGATTTCCCACTCTACCCAACGTTCTGAGTCTCCTTTAATGCTATATCGTCTCAGTGATAATAAACTATTACAAAGAAATTATATTTTAAAAAATCCAATTATATTTTTAAAAATCCAGTGAGAAGAAAAGCAGGTAATGAGTAGCAAGGGGACTCCGGGCGTCCGAGGAGACGGACTGAAATGACAAGGAGGTCGGCAGGGTTGTAGGAGGTGAGAAAAGGAAGGGAGAACACGTGGCTTCGTGGTCGTTGGAGCCTTGGATGTGAGTTGATTGGTCCCAACAGTTCTGCGTAACCCAGAGGCAAACTAAGCGCATTTCTAAGGAGTAGGAAAGCAGGGATATTGAAATCCATTTTTTTTAAAATGGTATTTGAAATTTCCACCAAACATCAAAGAAATCCCACGGGGTGGGTGGGTGGGGACGCATGTTGACCTTTTCTGTGGTTGGGGTCTCCGAAGGTCTGCATCTGGCCCTGGGCTTGAATCTTCTTGTTCAGTCCGCACAAGCCAGCCCTTACTCCTGGAGGACAGTCTCATTCACTTTAGGCCAGCAGATCGGTGTGCGGGAGCCTAGCTGCAGTGCTGAAACAGTTAACACACCTCCTCAGAGCACCTCCACCTGCATGGTCTGGGACTAACTCCCACAGCTAGGAAGGCTTGGGGCTTGGTTCCGAGCCTGTCTCCAGATACTCAGTCACTTTAATAATAAGATTGTTTACCAGGTGGTGCCATGCATGGCATCTCAGCCTGCTCCTGCAAGTCCCGGGAGGGAAAAACCAAGGCTAGGGTTGGCTGTATGAGTCCCTAAGGTCATAGTCAATGGCAGAAGGTGGAATCAGCTCCCTCCCCACCGTGCACCAGCCCTAGAGATGAGCTAGCATTTCATAAACTACAACCTATTGCCTTGTTTTAGAACCCTGGTTCACACCCACATGCAAAAGGGAGGGGGTCCCCCTGCAGGTGGATCCATGTAACTGCGGTTCCCTCTGCCCTCTCTCCAAGGGTAGCTGGTATTTCCCAGGAGTCTCCCAGGCTGGAGAGATGCTACCGTGCCTGACTTCAGAAGAAGAGGAAGGGTTAGACTGCGAAGAGAGGGAGGATACCTCCATAGAAGATCCGAAAGAAATCATCACCCTGGCTTTTGTGAGAGAGAACACTGGGGCACAGAAGGGGCTTCAGAATGCCCAGCCGCAAGGCAAGAAGAAGAAGAAGAAAAAGAGGTTAGGATTGAAAGACAGAGAATGGGTTTCATGGGGGTGAGAACAGGGAGAACTCGGAGGGAGGGTGATCCTCACTGGTAAGAGAGGGGAAAGGGGAAACTGCCAAGACTGTCAAAGTCACACTGCGTTCGTTCATATAAAAACAGTCTTTTGATGATCTATTTTATAGACTCGAATATTAGTGTGTGTCATCTAAAACCACAGCTTGTCCTAATTTTCATTCTGTGTATAGATTTTTTTTAATGGATGGGGAGAGATTTCCTTGTTTGAAGCAAGTGATGATTTGTCCTAGGAATTTAGGGCCCCTTCCATGTAAGAGACTGTGATAACTTGTTCGGATCCGATTGCAGCTCGTGCATTCCAGTTCTCGTTAATATTTCACCACGCCTTGCTCCGTTCAGACTGATTGATATTTGAAAGCTTGTCCTCTTTCTAACTCACAGCTTCCCTTGATGAGGTGATGAGAAAGGAGACAAGAATTATATTTTGACCAAAAAGATTGTCAGTTCCTGTCCCCGATAAGCCATCGGACCAAAAGGCTTGGGGGGCAATGGCGTGACAGTGAAGCTGCAAGCAAAGTTAGCCATGATTACAATATAGAATTTCTACCTCACAGCAGAGGAACAGTTGTGCGATTCCGCTGTCACTCCGTACTCCTTTGGAGCCATGTCTGTGGCAAGGCAGGATGAGTGTCCCATAGCTCCACCTGGGCAGGCTGTTTCTGGGTGTAGTCGTGTGTTCTGGCCCATGTGTCTGTCTCTGTCTTCTGCTTTCCTTTTTCTCTTTTCCAGATGATTGGTGATCAATCTATCCAGCTGCCGGTATGACAGTGGTGAGCATCTGCCTTCACGGGGTCTAGATGGGGGCCCACTGGAATCCTCCAAAGGGTTGGGAAGGGTCACGTATGTCATCGTTGTCATCATCTTCTCCTCCTCTTCCTTCTTCTCTCTCTCTCTTTTTAAAAATTTTGTCAGAGGGCACTCATGCTTGCCAGAGAGAGAGAGAGAGAGTGAGGGGGGAAAGAGAGAAGTGAGAAAGTACCCCCCATGGGACGTGGTATGCTGCAATCCCTTCTCCCCCATCATTTCTCTCTCCTTTCGGGATTTTGGGCATGCACACACATGCGCCTGGAGTGTTTTTCAGGTCGCTGGGTTGGAGACTTGAACCATAAGGTCAGCCATGTAGGATCCAGCTGCCCTAACCACCAGGCCACTAACTGGCCTTCTTGTGTATTCTTGGGGATGAAAAGAAGTGTCTTTAAGTCCTTTTTGGTTCTCCCAGCTCCATGAACAATTTGAGAAAATTGGGACCCTTGTTCCAAGAGTCATGGTTTTGCCCACACCGTGTCACGTCAGCGCTCTGTAATGCTCGTGTACGGCGATGTGGGGTCCTGACCTGGGAGCAGCAGCGGCTGCTGCAGTCAGCATCTGCCTCAGAGTGTGGCCTGTGGGCTGATCCTGGCTTACAGACTGATTTTGCATTGCACAGCACAGTGTTGCAGTGGCACCTGTACGAGGGGACTTCTGAAAGTTCCTGGTGCTGGGGTCAGCAGGTGGCGTGGTGGCTATGGTGCTGGACTCCCACATGGTGCCCTGCCATTCGAGCCACAGACCCAGGTGGCTTGAAAATCACGCCACGTGCGTGTGCATGCACGCCCAACATCCTGAAAGGAGAACGGAGGAGGAGGGATTGCGGGGTAATCACTTTCCTTCTCTCTGTGTCTCTCCAGTGCTATGGCAAAAACCTGAAAAAGAAAAAGAGTTCCTGGTGCCTCAGGCCAGTCTTGTACTCTCGCGGCGATGGCAGGGACATCTCCCTTTCTAGGCCCTTGACGTCATTTGAGTTCGTGTTGGAGTCGGTCCCCAGTTATTGACTGGCAGGGTGGGAGGAGAACGTGACAGCATACATGGGCACTTTAAAAAGTTCATGGAAGGGGCCAGCGGATGGCATAGTGATTATGTCACTGGACTCCCACATGACTGACTGTGGTTCAAGTCCTGAACCCGGTGGCTTTAAACTCAGGCCAGGCACGTGTGCATGTGTGCCCAAGATCCTGGGAGGAGAATGGAGAAGAAGGCATTGCTATGTGGCCTACTCTCTGGGGGGGTGATTTTTTACTTTCCCTCTCACTGTCTCTGTCTCTCTTTAGCGAAAACAAACACTCTAAGACAGAAACCTCTAAAATTTTTTTTTAATTGTGGAAAAATGGAATTAAAGGACAAGTTAATTTTGATGTAAAACATTTTGAAATTTATGCAGTTTTTTCCATGAGGCATGTACTTTTTGAAGCCCCCTTGTGTTTTTCTTTTTTTTCTTTTTGGAGAGGTTTTTGCTATAGGGTGTGTACGCTCACCAGACAGAGAAAGACATAGAGACAGAAAGCGAGAAATCACACCCCTGGGGACGTGCCACGCCGCAATCTCTTCTCCTCCATTCTCCTCTCGGAATCTTGGGCATGCACGCGCAATCTCTTCTCCTCCATTCTCCTCTCGGAATCTTGGGCATGCACGCACATGCGCCTGGTGTGAGTTTTTAAGCCACCAGGTCCGGGACACAAACCGCGGTCGACTATGTGGGATGGGAGTCCAGCGACATAGCCATTACGCTAACTGCTGGTCCCCCACCTTGTGTTTTTGAAATATATTGTGTATATATATATATATTTTTTTTCCTGCCCATTTATCTTACTCATTAAGCTCTGGCTGGTGTTCAGAATTAGTTTACATTCCCTGAACATTCAGGGCTTCATATTTGGAGGGAAACCAGAGACCTGCTTCCTGTCCAGGGGAGCCAGGGCAGGTGTAGCTTTCATCCCCGATGACCTTCTGTGGGATTTTTGGGAGAAGCCATGTTCTGTCTTGGTGGTCATGTGTCTTTTTCTGGGCCTGTGAGCCCAGGAGGTGGGGAGCCTGCAATGGGGGAGCTTCCATTTTGTTCATTCATGGAACCAAGAGAACCAAACAGCATCTGAAGACACTCCTTTTCATCCCCAAGAATACCCAAAGGGCCAACCTATGGCCTGGTGGTTAAAACAGCTGGATCCCACATGGCTGACCTTACAGTTCAAATCTCAGACTCAGCGGCTTGAAAAACACACCAGACAGCGGTGCATGCCTGAAATCCCCAAAGGAGAGAGAATTGGTGGAGAAGGGATTGCAGCGTGACCATGCCCATGGGGGGAGGGTGCTTTCTCACTTCTCACTCCTCACTTTCCTTCTCTCTCTGTCTCTTTCCAGCAAGTGCCTAGGCCCCGGAAAATTTTTAAAAATAAAAATAATAAATAAGATAGGAGTAGATGGCTTCCAACATTTTCTTTCTTTTCTTTTTTTTTTTTTTTAAGAGGTTTTTACTTTAGGGCATATGTGCTCACTAGAGAAAGAGACAGAGACAGAGGAAAGTAAAGTAAGAAATCGTCCCCCAGGAGAGATGGCTACGCTACATCTGCAATTCCTTATCCTCCATTCTCCTCCCAGGATCTTGAGCACACACACCTGTGCCCAATGTGATTTTTCAAGCCACTGGGTCCGGGATTTGAACTGTGGTCAGCCATATGGGAGTCCAGCGATGTAACTGTTATGCTATCTGCTGGCTCCTTATTTTCTTGCTCCACAACTTGGTCTGAGGGCACCTGGAAATGGAAACGTCCCCCAACCGAGCCTCCCCCACCTCCTGGGCTCACAGACCTTTGTTTCCCCACCCCCATTGCAGTGCGTAGGGCGGCCCAACAGTATGGCCTTAGAGAGGGCGGGGAAAACGAGGACTGGACTCTCTACTGGACCGACTACTCAGTGTCCCTGGAACGTGTGATGGAAATGAAGAGCTACCAGGTACTGGATCAAACCTGGTCCTTGGTGCACGTGAGGCACCTACCCAGTGGGGCCCACACTTTTATAACTGTCTCCCAAGGGGGCCTCACGATAGTCCCTGTCTTTCTGTTTGTCACGAGTTCCGACTTCTTTTGCAGAAAATCAATCACTTCCCTGGAATGAGTGAAATCTGCCGCAAGGACTTGCTGGCCAGGAATATGAACCGCATGTCAAAGATGTTCCCCAAAGATTTCCACTTTTTCCCCAAGACCTGGTGTCTCCCTGCTGAGTGAGTCGTCCCGAGCGTCTTTCTCCACTCCCGCCTCCTGTTTGCATTTTCCCTCTTGCCCCTGATTCCCTGGTCGCTGATTTCCCTTCTAACATGGTCTCTCACCTCTCTTGCTACTGTCCAGGAAGCGAAAGGAGAGAGGGTGTGTCCAAGGCTGAGAAAACACAGGCCCTGACTATAAAACCCAAGAACATTTAGGGGCTGGTGCCATGGAGCCGGTTCCAGCAGTCAGGATAAGAGTTTGTTCTGTCCCTGAAAGCTGTTGATTTTGAACTCGTTCCAACTGTCTAACTGTTGAACTTCTGAATTTTTAAGGACCATGAATGACTCTGGGTAGAGTGGGATAGTGGTTAGCACCCAGTAAAGAACAGAGAAGGATGCCTGTCCTCTGTCCCATTGCAGTGCACCTGCAGGGTCCTGGGGAAAATGCAATCAGCCCTTCCTCATCTCTGGTCTCTCTTTGTTTGTTTGTTTTAATAATTTTAAATTTAATTTAATTTGTTATTATTAGATTTTTTATAATTATTCATTTTATTTTACTTATTCATTCATTTATTTTAATTTGACCAGAGAGAGACAGAGAGAAAGAAAGAGTGAGAAAGTAAGCTGCCAGGTCTGGGACTCGAACCATGGTCAGCCATGTGGGAGTGTCCAGCACCTTAACCACCATGCCACCTGCTGGTCCCTGTTATTATTAGATTTTAATTTGACCAGAGGAAAGTGAGAAAGCAAGCCATCAGGTCTGGCACTCATACAACAGTCGGCCATGTGAGTCCAGTGCCTTAACCACCATGTCACCTGCCGGTCCCTCTGGTCTCATTTTATCCATTTCAAAACAGGGCGTTTATTACTGGTGTGTAAAATGTGCTGGGCCACGCTACCAAGAAATGGGAGAGGACATGAACATGACCTGGGCTACAGTCTGGTGGTTGACACAGGACAGAGGGGGCAGAGAAGAGTCACCAAGAAAATTATACTCACGTGTCAAGGGCACCAGAGGAATCCCACCCTCCCCTCTCCACCAGTGCTTCTCCAAACCCAGAGTGCCAGGGTTCCCAGCCTCTCCTCAGCTTGTCTGGAACAACTTTCAGGGTTCAGCTGCCATGTAGAAGGACACAGGAGCCCCTGGGCTTCCTGGCCACTGAGGAAAATTGCAGTTAAGTGACTTCTCTGGTGAGTCACCAGGCTCCACTGAGTTAAAACACAAAACAAGAAAGATAGCAAGACCAAAATATACAACCCATGAATTTAGTTTCTTTCTTTCTCTTGAATTTACTTTCTCCTGTACCTGATTCAAGTGGGGGTGTTGCAGATGAACCCTGAAACCAGAGGGAGGTAAGAGACTGAGTGACCCAAGGTCAGATCACTTCTCAGGGCTTGAGTCAGATCCAGAACTCCAGGTATCCCATCTGCCAAATTACCTAGGTCATTGCTGGCTTTACGGGGCGTATGGCATGTATCAGCCTCCCCTCTGTCACGTAACAACCACCACATGGATATCAGTGTGCTCATTGTAGGGATGACGAAGTTTTGGTTACAGGTGTCAAGAGTTTGCAAAGGGTTGTATAGCTGATAAGTGTGTTGCCTGACTTAAAAAAAAATTTATTTATTTAATTTTATTTATCACTATTATTATTTTTCAGCTTGCTACAGGGCATGTGTGCTCACCAGAGAGACAGGAGGGAGGTGAAATGAGAAAGCTAGCCACCAGGTCTGAGACTCAAACCATAGTTGGCCATGTAGGAATCTGGTACCCTAACCACCTTGCCACCTGCTGGCCCCCATGTTGCAGGATTTAATCTAGGCCAAGCCCACCGTCTCTCCTCTGTAGGCGTCACTGTCTCTCCCCTTGCTGGATGTCTGGACATCTATCACTACCAGGGCTTTGTCATGTCAGACAGCTTTTCTTTCCTTTCCTTTTCTTTTTTTTCTTCTTCTTCTTTTTTTTTTTTTTTTTTGGTTGTTGTTGTTCAGAAAAGGCTAGTCTTCTTTTTCATTGCTCCCCAAGCTAAAGGTATCTCATTCCTTCCCTGCTCTGGTAGCTGGGGAGATTTGCAGACCTACAGCAGGTCAAGAAAAAATAAGACATACATTTGTAAGCCGGACTCGGGCTGCCAAGGGCGAGGTATATTCATCACCCGGACAGTGAAAGAAATCAAACCAGGGGAGGATATGATCTGTCAGCTCTATATTTCAAAGGTACTTCCTCACTGGGATTATTTACCTCCCACAGCAACCTCGGGCTCTAGCTCCGCTGTGCAGAATGTGCAGGGGAGAACGGAGGGCTGGGGTGACGGTGCAGCCGGGCCTAGCTTCGGCTAGGACTTGGTCAGAACAGGCTTCTGACCAGGGGTGCCGACACATGCCCGGGCCAGCGTGCCCCTTTCCCTTGCCCCTGCTCAGTGGGTGTGGCCCTACCAGGCTGGCCTCTTCCCTCTAAGCTGGGAGGCCTCCTTGGGTTTGTAGAAGCCCCACCTCAGCTGGGAGAGAGATTCAGGGTAACCAGCCTTCCCCTCTGACAGGAGGTCAGGGGTCCTAGTGGCAGAGCCCAATCCAGGGAGGGAGCTCTCTGGGAGTACAGGGGGAGGGGGAAGCACTGGCCTTCCAGGGTCAAATGGCCAGGAGACAGCACTGCAGGGAGAACATGGTCCTGGATGGCCACCGTATGTCTGTTTATCACAGGACTTCGGTGTGCGACGTTGTGTAGTCGGCACGGTAGCCCGTGGGGATGGTTACTTGTGCCCTCTGACAGACCAGGAGACCAAGGCACAGTGCGGCTTAGTGACCTCCACCAGGTCACGTGTCACATCACGGAGCCCACATCTCACTCTCCCCCTGGACAGTGTTGGCAGGTGCCCATGGAAATGGGTAGGGAGTCCGATTTCCCGAGTGTGAGTTTCTCCTCTGATGGTCGCATGACTTCTGTTTCCCCCTCAGCCCTTTGTCATCGACGGATTCAAGTTTGACCTCCGGATTTATGTGCTGTTGACGTCCTGTGACCCTCTCAGGATTTTTGTGCACAAAGAAGGACTGGCTCGCTTTGCTACAATGTCTTACTCCCAGCCCTGCCCTGACAACCTGGTGAGCTAAGGGGGACACTGCCTGCCCGCGGGCGTGACCAGGAGAGAGCCTCGTGAACCCGAGGTTCTCAAGACTTGCAGACGTGGCTGTAGTTTGTTGAGCAATTACTATGTGCCAGGTTTTAGAGGCTCTTCATTTAACCTTCCCAGGAGCCCTCAGAGATAGGGGTGGGTGTCCCCACTTTATGGATGAGGAGAGTAAAACCCAGAGTACAAGGGACTTGTCCAAGGTCACTTAGCTGGAAGGGGTAAGTCTGGGACTTGTGGCCATATCTGCCAGTCTCCAAAGCCAGAACTACAGTTCAAGGGTGTTCGAGGAACAAAGGCCTACCCCACCATCCCCCAAACTCCCCAGGATTCTTGAGTTTCACTTGGGCAGAGCACCACCGATCTCAGGAGGACTGGGAATTTCTGATGCTGCAGACCCTAGGCTATGCCTTACTTCCTGTTTTCCCAGGTTAAGTAAGCACCGGGACTTGTCATTCTTTTCAGCTCCTTAAACCCAGGGGCCATGAGAGGGCACAGAGAAGAAGCAAGGGGCTGCCCTTCCGGCCTGACTCCACAGACTCTGTCTCTTTCCCCAGGACGATATCTGCATGCACCTGACTAATTATTCCATTAATAAGCACAGTTCAAATTTCATCCAAGATGCTCACTCTGGCAGCAAGAGGTAAGGAAGCGGTTTCTCCCTGCCAGCCTTCTGGGATTCTACCCAAACCCTGTCAGTCCCCTCAGTGTTTCTATCTCGGGTCACATGGTCGTAGAAAATCCTTCTTTGCCTCAGTCCAGAAGAGACTCCTTCGTCCCTGTCCCTGCCCTCGGGGCTGTTAATCATTACAGGAAGGCCACGTTGTAAACCTTAGGAGGCCGGGAGGAGAGAGAAACGCGAACCTTTTCCCCAGAAGAATACACACCAAAACACACCCTTACTGTAGCTGGCCCTCTAGACATCCGAAATCACCAGATATTCACGGATTGCCAGTCTGCTACGAGACGGACTTGCAGGCAGTATTTCTGTGGCCTGTCCTCCTTGGGGTATTGCTCTATGAGATGGGGCGTCTCGCTGCCTTGGTGTCATGTGACAATGTGTGGCTTGCAGGCTTTTAGGTTCCCCGGAAGGGGGAAATGAGAGGAATCCATGAGAGGGTCTTTTTTTTTTTTTTTTTTTTTGAGAGATTTTCACTGTAGGACACGTGCTCTCGCCAGACAGACAGAGACATAGAGACAGAAAGCGAGAAATCCCCCCCCAGGGGGGATGGTCACGCCGCAATCCCTTCTCCTCCATTCTCCTCTCGGGATCTTGGGCACGCACGCACACGCGCCCGGCGTGAGTTTTAAGCCACCGGGTCCGGGACACGAACCGCGGTCGACTACGTGGGAGACCAGCGACATAGCCATTACGCTAACTGCTGGTTCCCTCCATGAGAGGGTCTTAACAAGCGGCTTTTCCACTCACTCACTGCCCAATCATGTTCCTCTCTTTGGAGTTGTAAGGAAGAGGGGGACCGAGGAATGCGGACGTGACCAGGAAGAGGGGAAAGGGAAAGGGCAAGTCTCTGTCAGGGCGTCGTGTGCACTGGGCCCCGCGCTGGGGGGTGTGCGTACATTCTGTTGTCCTGTGGAGTTTTCACAACACTGTGGACAAGGAATGGTTAGCTGCCCTTTGTCGGTGGAGAGCTGCGAAGTCGGTGCCGAGCCCATTTTACAGACGAGGACACCGAGTCTCTGAGAGGTTAAGAAAGCTGCCCAAGGTTGCACAGCTATGAATGCTAGAGGGGGTCGAGAAGCTAGGTCTGTCAGACGCGTAGGTTCTCGCACTTGCTACTGCACTAGGCTTCCAAGGACTGACGAACTGACAATCGGCTTGGTTTTCCTAGCTCTGGGCACTTCTGCATAACTTCTCTGAGCCTCCAACTTCTTTCTTTCTTTTTTTTTAAAGAATTATTTTATTTAACTTTATTTATT